AGAGAGACAGAGCGTGTAAGAGAGTGAGAGAGAGAGAAGGGTTACAAATAAAACCACACTCCCCAAGCTGTAAAAAAAGCTCTGTACTGTGGTCCAAGTGGTGGGCAGAGTGAGGGAAACAAGTCTAGGCATGTTTAAGTCCAAGCACATTCACACACAGTGAATTCCTGCTTATAGAAAGAAATAAGAATAAAAGAGGGATTAGTAAATTTCTGTTGCTGCAAATAAATACCAGTTTCCCCTGTTCTCAGCTGGCACCAGCAGACAGAAAATCCAATTAACTTTTTATTTGTGTCCTTTTGCACTTTATAGTACATTCTAAAAAAAATAAATAAAACCGTCATGTATGTGCGCACCATAACTCTGTTGAAGTGGAGGCCTAATGAGCACCAGAGCAAACAAAGTTACTGCTCCCCAAGGCCAGGAAGTGGAAGTTGAAACATTCTTCAAAGGAAAACTCAGGCAAGCTAGCCATTTCTTCACTAATTACAAGCTGCACAATGAATGGTACAAGCCTCTCAGCTTTGAAAATATCCATCAGCGCCATAACCAAGAAGCTAACATAGGACTTTGTGTCTTTTCTTGCAGAGATATGACTTGTTCCAGTGAGTTCGATTAGCCATCATGCCTAACCTTATCTAATAGATCTGGTGCACGGTCCTTCAAAGGCTGGTTCACAGAAGCATCATTACAAAGCAGCTGTGGTGGGTTCTGTTGTACAAAGTTGTGGAAAACTCAGTGGCCCCTCCAACTACAGGATGACTCATTATAGTAACTCTGAATGAATGTGCTTCAGACCTTTATGACTCATTTAAAAAGAAGAAAATATATGTAGTAGCAAGAGAATCAGCATCCAGTAAATGAGAAAAGAACAGGTTCCTATTTACTCGTGGTGTACGGCACTTCCTATCATACCTGAGCAGAGTTCTGGAGAGAGAATGGTGTTTCCTGATGCTGCGGCGGGCAGCTCGGTGCCCCTTAACAGGCACAGTGTTAATCCTTTCAAAGTGCACTCTCCTGCTGCTGTGACCCAGGCAGGACAGGGCAGGAAGGTGGCAAGAAGGGACAGAGGAAAGAAGAAGGGAAAAAACAAAAGACAAAAAACAGGAAGTGACCAAGAAAAATGCAGCAGGACAGTGTTGTAGCCATCTTCATGCAGAAAGAGCAAAGCAGATAGTTAAGCTTTTTGTGTTTATTTAGGCCCAAAAAAACTACTTAGATTGCAGAAAAAAATGTTAATTGCAAAGTGTGAAATTTGGAAAAAGGTAAGAAAGACAACACTGCAGTAGTTGAAGAGTTATTTTTATATGCTTAAGGACATGTTGCAAGCACTGTTGGCTTAACTCATGAATCTCGAAGATTTATTGATGATTTAACACAATTTTCAAATTTTGCTCCTACCTAGGCCTGTCACGATAACAAATTTTGCTGGGCAATTAATTGTCTCAGAAATTATTGCGATAAATGATAATATTGTTTGAATTTTTGGTTATTATTAATTATTGGTAAATTTGGTTAGAGTGTAGTACCTTTTTTGACCACTGAATGGCAGTATAAGACCATTTGAACCGAAGGACAGATAGTGAGGGAGCGAGCAGTGTGTCTCTTTAAGTAAAATGGGAGGGAGGCCCCTTGACGTGACATGGGCTGTCTCTCTTTCCTTTTATTCGGATCTCAAATGGCGGACGCTCAGTGTGGGTTGAGCTCTTTAACATAGCATTTTTCACACAAAGCTTTTCATTAAAAAAATTAAAAATCAGTAAACAAGTTCTCAGCTTCTTTTTGCAGAGGAAAACAACTTTTTACACAAAGGCACGGGTTTCAACCGTGAATTTTGGAGCTTCGACAAGACGGGGGTGTTCCTCCCCCCCGAGGTCAGCCTGTTAGCTTAGCTCGTAGCTTAGCTTCTCAGCTTAGCTGCTTTTAACAATACAAAAATGCGATTTGGGACAGTTAAAACAGATTTTAAAGAGAAAAGAGAAAGGGAGGGGTCAGTGAAGAGCACCAGAGTTGAGCCTTTTGTCATCCAGTGTCTTCAGTAGAAAGAGAGAGACACGAAGAAACGATAAAGACGATAAATGAAAATGAGGTTGATAATTTTCAGTTATCATGCGATTAATTGATTTATCGCGACAGGTCTACTCCTACCTTTATAAATAAAGTGGCATGGTATGGTATGGTACCTGCTCTCAACAACATTTGCATGGTAATCTGTGTGTATCTTTATTGATTAATGACATCGAGCAGAACTTAACCTTACAGTGAGTATGTGACTTGTTATTTAATACCTCAAGTGTCTTATTATTGCCTCTTACCTCTTTATCGTCTGTGTAATGGATGACTGACGATGAAAGGCAGGCCGCCGGGTGTCAAACACCTCTCGCGGTGGAGACTGGAGATATGAAGTCTCTACTGGCATACTGATACTGCGAAGGAACCCTTGCCTTTTCACCGGCTACACAGAAAAAGATGCATTATACGTGAACACAAATCATGCCATACAGTAAATGACAAGGGTGATAAATTTGAGGAAAAGCACTCGGTAAGAGAGAGCACCTGAACAAAAGTAGGAGGCTCGTCTAGTGACATCTGAGCCGTGGGAATGTCCAGTCGGAGCCAGGGAGGCTTCTTCCTCTGTAGGCTGCTGGTGCTTTCCCGCCGTGGTTCAGCCATCGTCTCTGTCTCACCCCAGGCCTTCCAGCTGCACAGATACAGATGAATAAATATGTTCTATTAATAAAGTGCAATGTTAGGAAACAATAAAAGCACAATCAGACTTAGAGCTGGCTTTGTGGTGCAAAACTGTTTCACAAGTCAGTGCTAAGGCCCCTATTTGAATTAAACATACACAGATTTCTGCTCACTAGTTAGCAAACGGATGAGAATAATCTACAGCTGTTAACTACCTCCCAGAAATAGTAGAGTTTTTTAAAGCTATTTGTAGTTGCATTGGAGAGAGAGGAAGTTTGCAGTCTTAACCATAATCCCTTAATTCTTATTTCAAATCATTCTTAATTCCTGTTGGTGGTTTAACGTAGCTCTGCTTTTAGCAGACATCTATCAGACAGTGTGTGTGCATTCCCATGATGAGGCCCGTGGACCACAGAAGGTGCACGTAAGCCTCAGCATCAAACAGTCTGCCTGTAACCACAGCCCTGTAGTTTGTTGTGCCAACAACTTCGCTTCTTTAGGGTTGCTTCCTGACAGGTTTGTCTTTAAAACCAAATGATTAGCATATGTTTTACATACCAAAATACCAATAAATTTAAAGGTCTTACAGGAATATTGTCACAAACATCGTAACACCAGCAATTTTCACCAAGTCACCGCCTCACTTCTCTTGCTACAGCTCAAGCTCTTTGTAAAAAAATAAATAAATCCAAGGCATTTAGTGACAACATCTGTTTCACATTGGCATTTCAACGCACCACAGGCTTCTGTTTTAGTCCATGTGATGACGGGAAGTGTTGTCAGTGGATCTCAGCAGAGGCGGAAGAAAAACCTCACACAGAGGTCAGCAGGCGTCATAACCACTGTGGTAACGATTGAAAATGGTCTAAGTCACCCTGACAGGTACTTCTCGGTTACAAGCCTACTGAGGTAAATAACACTGGGATAGCTGTTATATTATGACAAAGGGAAAGTTTTACAAACTGTTAAAAAGATTTTTAAAAATGAATGAGATGTCAATAAAATAACCAACCATGATGAGGCAAGCGTCATGCAGTTTCATTCTTTATTCTTTCTCCCTTTGCTCTATACTGCATACTCAGTGGGATTTGTGGTTATTAATGCCTAAATGAAATAAATAAGTTTATTCATAACCATTTTTTTTTCTAAGAAGAAACATCAAAGATATCGTGTCTCACAGTGATCAGTTAGCAACATTAAGGAAACGTAAATGTGTCCCCAGTATCACATCTTCAACGTGATTTATTGTTGCAACAACTCCATCTTGCTTCAGGCAACATTTAATTACTTTTGCCATGAGTTCAAACAGCAGGACCTCTGATAATAGAGCAGATTTTGTAGGAGGGGAGAGAGCATCGAATTGAATCAAATTGAAATTTGAAAAATGAAACAGGATGAGACTCAAGTCGCAAACGCACACCAAGCTTCTCCTGTTTCAACTCTGAATATTGTGCTTGTGGATTTTCCCTCCAGATAATGTAGATGGTTTGGTGGAAGTAAACCGCTCTTTCATTGAGGTTCTCTTAGTGCTTTAGGCTTTTTTTCTGGCCCCAGTCTCACATGTCATTGTTGCTCTTTTATTTGCGGATAAGTACAGTCTGACAGAAATATCTGCTGTTAACTAGCAAGAGAAACTAAACCCACACAAATTCTTTTAAAAACATTTGACACCAAGTATGTAAAGTAGCAGGATACACCCCTTAACTAAAAGTGACTTAACAAGTATTGCAAACCTAGTATAGTAGTGCATTCTCAACATTGCAAATGAAAAAAAAAATGCCAGTAAAGCCTGACATCGAAGCATTATTATAACCATGCAGCTATTGTTATGGTTCCACTGCTGGCCAGTAAGAGCATTTGGTGACAGCCCAAGGTAAACCTCCCACGTTCAACAGACAGCAGTGCCAAGTGCCTTGGAAGTCGCTCTCTTTTCTTTCTCTCTTGTTCTGATCCAAAGTCAACACGGCAATAAAACTGGCATTTTCCTGAAACTCGTGTCTGAGGAGGAGTTTAGCTGGAACAGTCGATGCAGCCATCACTCAAAACGTGAGCACGGCTCTGAGCGCTTTCCACGCTTCTCTCTTTGAATGCTGCAAATCACAGCTTTGAGAGTGTTGGACTCAAGGCTGGTCCCTGTCTGAGAAAACCTCACTATTATGGGCAGGAAGTCCTTCAGAAGCAGATACCCTTGGGGAAGAAGCCGTGAATCTAGCCTTTGGCAAATATCCAGACTGAAGGATTAGCTCTTTCCTGATGCAGCGTGTTATCTAGCTTTATGTTAGAATAAAAGACAAAATAATAGAAGTGGCTTGGTGAGACATAGCACACAAGTCGTATAATTATACATATTTGTTGCTTAGTGAATTCTCAATGTCTTATCTTACTCTCAAGGTGTTTGTCCTTTGGGTGTTATGGCAACAATTTGATGTGTGCAATAGTTTCCCACATTGTTCACATTCCCTGTGCTGATGCGAGGCCTCAAACAAATACCTCGTCTTCATCTATTTTCTCAAGAAGGTTTGTTTTACATTAGGATTCACATGAAAAGTGGAAACCACCCACATCCGTAGCAAAGCGTCAAGTCTTTCAAGACTGGCTTCCTGCTCTGTGTAAGAAGCGAACACCTCCCACTAGATCACGAGACCCATGACTACCCCTGCTTGTATTGCTTTTCGTTCTGGGGCCTCTCCAGGACACACTAGGCAGGAAAGACATGAAAACAAAAGACACGCCGACATCTCTGCAGGTGCAGGAATAGCAAATGGGACACAGTGACTGGAGCTGACAGGCTTTACCAGTACTTTAATTCTGTCTGCGGAGCCACAGCCTATTACATTTTATTCGTCATACAATTCCTTGATTGAATGCATATCGCCTGTTGTCTTTTCTGACAGAGTTTTAAACTAAGACCATCATATGATGCAAAATGACAAAGCTATTTTGAGCTAACCTTGAAAACAATACGTGTAATCTCATGAAATATTGCAATATCTAGCAAGAGCTTGCATGACCTGTGCTTGGCAATGTGTTGTGAATGACTGACTGTCAGCTACTACCACAAAAAAAGTTTTAGATCAATATCAGTAAAAATCACTGAGGTATAGCCATTAATACATGTATGTAAGCTAATGTTGGTTAGCTGTGGTGACCAACTTGAATTGGGTTGACTCCAAAAGTTTAACAGTTGTGGATGAATAGCTAATAATCAGAGAGTTTCAATAAAATCCCTTATCCTGTGGGATCAATAAAGTCCTATCTTATTTTATTTTAAATAATTCATGACACAGGGATGTGGTTGCGCAGAGGTTAGTGACAAAAACTTGTGACTGGAAGGTCACCAGTTCAAATCCCTTTGCTGACTTTAACATCAAAATGTGAGTGGAGAAGGTGAAGCACCCACACCTGCTTCCACTCCCGTTTGTCCCACTCTGGGCTCTTGAGCAAGGCATTACCCCACCTAAATGGGAGCCGCCTGCTCCACACAGAGGGCTGTGGTAGCATCAGGAAGGGTATTCAGTGCAAAACAAATTCTTGTGCGAGTTTGCTCACTGTGGCGACCCCTAAAGAATGGAGCAGCCGAAAGGAGGGGGAAAAAAAAAAATTCATAACATATTTTGATGATGGTACAGACAGACAAACGCTGTCGCTCCACCTTCACCTTCAGGAGATAATGAAGTTTTCTGTGCCATTCTTTCATGTTAGTACTTAGCAAATGCTTCAGTCAAGGAAAAGATGTTAGATTATGTTACCAGAGGTCTATGTTGCCACTGAAATTGAAGTCAATCTTCATGAATACAGTTCAAAGCGTGACATTTAACACACTGAAAAGCTGAAAAGAATAAGCTTGGTGCTGATGAGGACGGAGCCATTTTATCAGAATAATAAAATATTAACAAATAAAATCTGATGAAGATAGTCTTGAGAAATATTTCTGCATTTTTCAAATCTTTATCAAGGCCATTTATAATCTCAGCGCCTGTCATTTCCACATTCCACAGCATCTCCAGCTGCAACAGAACTACGCTAAAATGGCAGCGCTGGAAACCACATGCAGCCAAGCTGTTATGGACAGGAGCTGGCTGGTTGCTGGTTGCTGGTTGCTGGGTGCGTGCGCTGCTGCTGTGTGTTACTCCACCGGAGGCAGGCTCAGTGCAGGGAATGCTTGCTGAGAGAGCTGCATCATCAAGGTTGACAGAGCTCATGGTAGCTAGCCAAGTAGGGCACTGTTTGCTTGCAGAGGCAATCGTTGAGCCAAGATGGCCAAAAGAAAGAAAGAAAGCCTGATTAGCATGCAAACTCTGGATGGATGACTTGTTAATATATGTAGCGAGACATTATTCTTCGGAGATGCAGTACTTCCTGGCGTTAGGCCCCTGTTCCTGTTTTTCATTTTCGGTTTTCTTGTGTTGCTGCCATTTCTTTTTCCCTTCTTGTTGCCTACACACCGACCTATTTAAAGTTGTGTTTTAACAGTTGTGTAATATATCCACAGTTCAGACTGACAAATAGATTAAGACACAAAACTTAAATGGTGCAAACAGGCCACCGTAGGTTGTCCACATACTTTAATAGTTAGTCATTCTTCAGAATGTTCTGCTGTCTTTTATGCTGCACTCCAAGCTGGAGGCAAGGCTTCACAGTGAAAACAATGGAGGGAAACCGGGATCCCAACATTTATTACTTTTTGTATTTTTCAAATCAAACTAAAAATTATTGCGCATATGAACTTTGTTCCTTTAAGCAATAAAATAGTTCTTCCAACTTACAAAAAAAAAAAAAAAAGTCTATAAAATATTACTAACATTTTTGAAAGACCGTTTAATTTTTTTGTTTTTTTATTATATTTTGTGGGGATAGTTGTTGTAATAATAATATGAAATCCTTGATATTGTCCAAGTGGTGGTTTCACAAAGGCTTTAAGTTGTCCAAACATTAAAAAAAGAAAAAGTAAAAGAAAATCTCCATAAATTGGAATTAAAGCCTTAAAGCTGCCACAAGAATAAAAATAAC